AAACAGGATTTTAAAAAATCAGTTTCCCCTTAGCCAGGTGTGGTGGCACACCTACTTAGATCCCAGCACTCGAGAGGCAGGAGCAGGCAATATCTGAGTTCAAGGCTAGCCAGAGTGAGTTCAAGCACAGCCAATGGCTACACAAAGAATTCCTGCCTCAAACAACTAAAACCAACTAGTCAGTTTCCCACTCTACTCTTTCTTTTGTTCCAAGACAATTTTAGGGTTCATGTCAGGATTCTATGTGGTAAATAAATACACTTGCTCAAAAACAAGGGAGAAGACTGCTCCAGAGTTCGTGAGCCACTTTTGGGCTACTGAGTTTCTCTAAAAATTATTCAGTTGTTTGAGGTCAATTCTTTGTCCCACTTAGTTACAGAAAAATAGCCGATATTCTTTTGCTATTAAACATGCTTAATACCACTGGATTTCCCAGTAGCCTCCAGTTGCTTTTAAATACTTTTAAGCCTCTTTTAGATTGAAAATTCTTAGAAATAAAGAATTTCAAGAACACTATAAATTTTCTAGAGTGCTTAAATTATTTTGTAGAAGGATTAAACAACACACAGCCTATCTATGACCCACCCAATCTTCAAAGCCTAATATAACCCACACTAGGACTGGGGAGATGCCTTGCCACCAAGCCTGAAGAACTTGAGTTCAATCCTGTTGAGACCCTACATGGTAGGAGAGAAGCAACTCACTGCAAATGGTTCTTTGCCAGTAGGAATGTATGTACATGTACAGTGCTACTTACTTTATCACCTTCAATCACCTGGGAAGCTAGAATCATCTGGGAAGAGGAAACCTCAATTGAGAAAATGCCTCCCTCATATTGCCTATAGGCATGTCTGTGTAGCATTTTCTTGATTAATGATTGGTGTGGGAGGGCCGGGCCTACTGGAGGTGGTGACATTCCTAAAAAATGGTCCTGGGTGGTATAAATAAAAAAAATTAAAATTAAAAATAAACGGGCTGAGCAAGCCATAGTGAACAAGGCAGTAGACAAGTCTCTGCTGGAGTTCCTGCCTTGGCATCCCTCAATGATGGGCTGTGATCAGGACATGTTAGCCAGATAAACCCTTTCTCCCCTAACTGCTTTTGATCTGTGTTATAACCCAGCAATAGAAAGCAAACTAAGACACACACAAATAAGTTTTAAAAGGTTACAAACACATACTCTGCTATCTGCTTCCCAATACTACGAATGGCAGCTTCAAAACTTAGGTGAAGTCACAGTCTATTGAACCCTTCTTCCCTACATCACTATCCTCTATGATTAAAGCCCATGGTCAAAACTGGACATTTTGAAAAAAAAAAAAGGTGAAATGTACTAGATGCTTCTAGATAACCATCTTTCATCAGATAGGTATCTCCAGCTAGAGTTCTGGCAATAAGCTATGTGGGCTGCCACTAACTGGTAACACTAGTATCTGTCACAAAGATAAGTTTTTTTTTTTTTTTTTTAAAATAATCTTCATTAAACTAAAGTAAGAAAGTAAACCCCCTACCCCCCCAAAAAAAAACCATGTACAACTTAGTCAAAAGTGCATATTATCTCAATGGGAAAGTGACAGATTACTAGTCTTCCCTGACTTAAATGTCATTTCTAGAAGCCATCATATATGCCCATCAAACCAACTACTGTATAGGCATTTATCCCAGAGTAAGTAGTTCAAATCACTAATTCACTACGAGTTCTATCTGTGCACACAAACACACAGATATATACATATGTAACAATCACTTGAAAGCTCCTAACATCTGAACACTTTGACCCTCTAATACTAGCACTGTTCTGCTTCATTGATTTTTCTACTTTCTACAGCATCTACCTTTCACCACCTTCTTTTAATTTCAAATCTAGCTAGGGTAGTATAACTAATACAGTTCCATGACAAACACTTGCCTCTGTGGGCAAGAACCTGCCTTCACCTTAAGTACTTATCACATGAAAAGTAAACAAAAACAGTCCAGCACACTAAATTGTCCACACTTTCCCTCGTATACTGCCTTATATACACCTTCCCAGTTAGCATTTTAAACTTCATTTATTCAGTCATCTCTAATCACATGGGGCAATCCAGTGAAGGAACCCTATCTCCTCTAAATGTGGGGAGGAATGGATTAAGTACCTTCGAAGTTCCTGTAACTAGAGAAACAGCACACACTCTCCCCCATGGGAATAGTGGCTAAACTTCCTCCCCAAAAGGGGGGAGGGGCTTTAAGAAATAAAATGCAGGGGGGTTAAACTGCTTTGTTAAGCACCAAATAGTACCTGGTTGTCATCAAATGTTCAGGTTAGTGTTTTTTCTACCACTTTTAAAACAACAGAGAAAGCCTTCCATTGTTTCATTTCTTGGTGGCAAAAGAGACTAAGAGATAAGACAAAACTTCAGAAATGAATTTATTGTGAGATCAAGTTCAGTTATTCTTTAGTCACATCTATCTTCCTTAAGGTTAAAAAAGAAATGCCAATTTTTATGATGTAACACACATGGGCTTTAAAAACCTCAAATGGCTACAAAAATATCAGAATACCACTGCATTTAAGGAGGAGGAAAAGAGAAATTATTTCTCTGTACCTTTCCCAGAGAAAACACTCCTTATAAAGTCCTTAAATGAACATTAAAAAAAAAAAAAAAAGTAAGTCTATTTCTGTCCAGTATGTTTGGCTTTTAACTTTGAGAGCTTGCCTGAAATATAGCTTTGCTCACATTTGTATGTCAAACAGATCTTCCATAAACAAGAATTTGTAAATATGCCTCTCATTTTAAAAAAGTGTCTTCAACTACAGCACCATCACCCTGGACGACTTCCTCTCACTCTGGTACCATCTGCAAAAAAGGCATGATCTCAGAAATGGTCTAATAATTTCAAAACAGTAGCTGTGACTCCACTGGTTGCTTACTGTGTGCTTAACATAGCACAGGTTCCTGTCTTCATCTAAGTGAGATATGAGACCATGAAAACAGAAACCTTGCAAATATTCGGTTCCTTGTACATAAAATTTTATTTTAATTGTCTGTGAACTTTAAGAAATCCCTAAATTTATATTTCATGGTGAATAAATACTAAAACGATCCTCAATTTTCTAAGAAACGTGTTTTCTAGAGATCCTAAACTCCTAACAACTTAAACTTTTCTCTTAGAGGCACAGGGCAACTTCCCAAGTCTGTGTCACTAAAGTGACATCTGGCTCACCCCAACTCACTTTTTAACTTTATTACTTTCAAACTCAATTCTTCAACTCTACTGCTCTAAAAAGCACAAGGAGGAGGAAGAGTTGGGAACATCAAAATAGAGGAATTCCTAGGAATTCACAGTCTATCTGTTCATACCTTCGACACAAATCCTAGTAAGTTTATTTCTGGAGCACACTAATAGGTAGGTGACTCAGAAGCAAATGAGCAGGTGCAGGAGCTGTCTTAGGAAGTCATGTGATAGGAATGGCTATTAAGTGAAAGTCTTCCACACCACAAGAAAGGCCAGAATCTATGAGTAGCAGACAGGAACACTTCATAAATGTTGGGCAAGTACTATTTATCAACAGTCCCAAGAATCCCATCTCTTCTCACTATCCAACGGCATAAAAACATGCTCTTAACCATGACTGAATCAAATGTAAGCTTTTCCTAATGAATACATAAAGTATTTTTGACACTACATCTCAAACTATTCACACACACAACACACACACACACCAGCATTCTAGAACAAATAATTACTTAAATTCAACCATCAGCCAACTAAATAAGTGAACACCCCTCTGGGAGTATTTTTCAAGGGCAGAAGGCTACCCGACAAGTGTTTTTAACCGATGGGTAACATTTCTTTTTCTCATAGAAAAGTCTAACCTATTCTCACCTCTGACATACATCCACGAGCTACCATGTGATGAAATGCAATCTAAAGTTTTCTATAAGATATTCTGGGGTTAATATTTAATCAAAATGTTTTAAATTTCACCGAGTAAAACCTTTATCAGATTGTGGGAAAGGAAATATGAAAGCAATCTCATACTCAGTGTGTTTACTACACTCTAATCTTGATTTCACATATCTAATCGTAGGCTTTACTAATTTATACGCCTTCTAAAAACTTTATGACATCAGCCACCACCACAATTCTCAATAAGGTCAAATGCTAAACTCGTAAAAGTAAGGGCGCTGAGAGTGAGAGCAACACACAACACCATGCTGGCAGCGCAACAGCGTCTTCCAGGGGGCAGGGTCGCCATATACACAAACAGTAGGCGCTCACATTCAGCAAAACCTGGGGCGCGACAGATCAGGTGATTTCACACCAGATACTTTCAGCCTAAAGCGAATGACTTCAGCAGCCCCAGGGCTCCTTACCCCAGTTTGACAACCTAAGCAAACACTTGGAACCCCAGCCAAGCACAACTACTGCGAACGGGTCTGGCGGATCGGTATGCTCGGGAACCTGAGCCCGGGCCACAGCCCTGGCCTGAGGACTGCGGCTCCCAACGGGAAGGGTGTGTGTGTGGAGAGCTCTGAGACCTAGCAACCAGGTGCCAGCGGTTCCCGCGTCCTCCGCCACCGCCGCGGGGCCCAGGGCGTCCCGCTCTCCCCTCCCTTCCCGGCCCGCGCGAGGCACCGAAAGCAGCAAGTGCCCGCCGGGTGACCCAGTCTACACCGCCGCCCACCTCGGCGCACTTCCCGGCCCGGAGAATCGGCTCGAGGCCGCCCCCTTGGGTCGGGGCGGGCACGGCAGCAGCCACGCGGCGGCGGCGGGCAGGAGGCCGGGCCGTCCGTTTATCCGCCAGCTGTGAGAGCTGAGGCCCGCGGGCCGCCCTCTGAGGCCGTGCGAGGGAGCGCGGGGCGCGGCTGAGGCTAGGCCCTGCGAGCGGCCGCGGCGCCGAGAATCGAGCCCAGCCAGCCGTTGACTTGGACCCCGCAGGGCGGCCAGTGCTCTCCAGCTCAAGCGGCCGCGTCCCGACTTCTGGCCCCCGCGGCCTCGGCTCTGCCGGCCCGTACCTAGGGAGGTCGTGGACGAGACGTGGTTAACCCCAACGCTCGTGTCGCTAGTCTGCCGCCGGCGCCTCAGCCCCTGTTGCGGCGGCTGCCTTCGCGTTGCCTCGTCCCCCTCCGCCATCTTGTACCGATTTAAAATTAACTCCCCACTGACGTCAAACGCCGCCGCCGCTTTATCAACCTGCCGGGAGCCGGAGGAGCGGCCTGCGGGTCCTAGCGCCGCCCTCAGACTGAGCCGCCCTTCCCGCCCCCGCCACGCCCATCCGCGCCCTAGCTCCGCCTCCGCCCAGCCAGCCTGCTGCCCCGCTCTGCTGTTCCAAGCCTCTAGGAAAAACTGGGGGACCCACTGCGGCCTGTGCCACTGGCTCCCGCCCCCACCTTCCCGGGCTCGGTACCACACCCCCTTGCCTCAGGGCTGAGAAGGCAGATTCGGAGAACCAAATCCCTCCTTCCCCAATTCTCTTCGCATCTCTGATGTGGACTCATGCCCTGCACGTGAGGTTGCATTCCCATGCTTTCCCTTCTCCTTATCCCCAGCCCTCTCCCCTGCCAACTGCCGCCAGTACATAGCTTCTCTTGGTATTTTCTTTCCCCTGCATTTCTTTTCCCACCACTATCCTATAATTTGTTTGCATTAGCTCGCCATTTCTTCTGAGAGCCTACTTTGCCCTCTTAACGATACATGCCTGGGGGACAGGGGAGGACTCTGATTAGAAAATGGATCCTAACAAGTCCTTTCCTAATTGTGGGGATCCAGTGACATCATGTAGGAAGTCCTGTAAACTTTATAACAGAAATGCCATCCTGTGGAGGCATCAGTGGAACATGGTTCCTAAACTCGTGGCTTTTCACCACATCCACAGTGGCATTAGAAATTCCTTTTCTCTGGTAAAGATGGGAGCCCACGTGTCCAGATGGCTGTCTTGTCCCGATCTCTTAAGCCTAAACATCACAACCTTTAATTCCATGAGATCTCTACAAAAACATTAATTGTCATCAAACATTTCAGGGCATCATTTCAGATGGGCTTTTGTTAGACTGTCTGGGGATACTGCCCCTGTCAAGACAGGGTTTCTCTGTGAAGCCCTGGCTATCCTGGTACTCACTGTGTTGACTAGACTGACCTGGATTGTAGAGATCCACCTGCCTTGGCCTCGCGAATCCTGGGATTAAAGGCAAGTGCTACCAACCACCTCCTGGCTGTCTGGAGATTATTAAATCACCTGTTCTATGTCTTTGGAGAAACAGATTGTAAACTCCTTCTATACTAAATCCCTGTATCCTGGTTCCATGTTCCCTGAGCAGCCTATGCAGCTGCTTTCTTACTTGAAGATTTGCTGGGGGTTGGGGGGGGGGGTTGGTTGATTTTCTTGTTGTTTTGATTTTTTTCTTTTTTGTCTTGTTTTGAGATTTTTGGTTTTGGTTTTTTTGTTTTGTTTTTCTTTTTTGTTTTTGTTTGTTTGTTCTGGTTTTTGTTGTTATTGTTGTTTGTTTGGTTTTTGTTTTTTCTGAGACAGTGTTTCTGTGTGTAACAGCCCTAGCTGTCCTGGAACCCACTTTGTAGATACTGCCTGCCTCTTCCTGCCAGTGTTGAGATTCCATGCTCAGCTTTGGATTTGCTTTCATAATTCTCCCTATGTGGTGACTGTTTAACACTGTATACTCTGCTTATCCAGTCTACTTTGGGCATTTACTGCTAGCAGTTATATGGCACTGAGTTGCCCTATCAGATATCCCAGAAAAGTTAGTTATTCCCAAAGCTATACTGTTTGCCAATTGGTCTTCAAGGGAGCATTACTATCAGACACTGAAATCTATATCACCCCAGATAGACCCATAACGTCTGACTCCAGTGAACAGAGAAAAATTTAATGCAGGTGGTCAAAAGAATGGACACTGACCCAGGGTCACCTCAAATCCAAGTTTAAAAAGCCACTTGCCTTTAGTTATCTCTCTTCAATTTCAAACCCTTTCCACCCAACCCATCTCATATTGCCAGTTGTGACTACTGAATATCTCCCTAACTCCAGCACACTGCCAGCCTCATGCTTCATTCAGACCCTTGTCATCTCTCCCTAGTCCCATTGTAACAGGTTTTTCCTTCTCCTGTGGATTATTCACCCAGCCACAGGTTTGAGGTTTCTTGTATATAAATAGGATCACACTAAATAAATAAATAAATAAATAAATAAATAAATAAAATAGGATCACACAATTTCTCTACTCAGAATCAAGTCTAAGCTGTATTACAGGGCCTGTTACAGTCTGGACTCTGCCATTTTTCTTCTTATTTCTCTGCTTCATTCTCCCATGAGTCACTCATTCCTTCCTTCTTTGATCTGTGCATTAATCTTGCTCTGGGGTACTGAAGATGCAAATAATAAAATAGAAGAACATCTCCTCTATCACAAAAGAGTACGTGGCAAGAGCTCAAAGTCAGTCTAGTGGTGTCTCCAGCATCTAAACCTGTGCATAGCGAATAGCAGATTCATAAATGTTCATGGAATGACCAAATGATTAATGAATTAATGATCAAATGAGTTCATTAATGAACGAATTAAATAAAATTCTGAGTCTCCTACTGAGTCTCCTAATGCATGTAAACTTCCAGGTTCCAGGATGCTAGACTTAAGCATCTTCATGGGATCAAATCAACACACTGAGAATATGATTTTGACTGTAAACACAAACATTCATGGAATACTTGCTGTTCCTGGCACTGTTTAAAGTACTTTACAAGTTGTCATTGAATCTGTACAATAATCTTGAAAGGTAAATGCTGTCACTGCTGTCTTCCTGTGAATGGCCCTTTCAGTGCAGCAAGAGTGAACTGATCTGCCTAAGTGGCAGGTGTAGTATTGAAAGGTAAACAGAACACCTCCTACAACCGTTGTCATTGTCCCAGTGCCCTGCTTACAGACTAAGAGAGTCTACAGGGTGCAACTCATGGCTAATCCACAAGAATTATATTGTTCTGCCTCCAATTAGTGTAAGTCAGATCAAAAGATATACTGCTATATAGGCAACTTGAGATTTTTAACTCCATAGGATTGAAAAACTGGGCAGAAGACATCCACAAACCCCCTTAAATTTTCTAAAAATGGACCTCAAACATATAAAAATGTCCTTTTTATTCATATGAGAAACAGATTAAAATGACAAATAGAAGCTACTTCACACACAACTTGGCAAAAATTCAAAAGTTTATGATTACACTATGCTGGCAAATGTGGAGAACACTATTCTCATGTATTGCTGATGAGAATACAAAATGGTGTGACCCTAAAGAAAGAATTTGTATCGTCCATGAAACCTGTATGGCTTTCCCACCAAGGCACCAATGCCATTTCAGTACAAGCTGTTAAGACTGTAACTCCCTACAGCACAGAATGTTAAGCCCAAGGTTGCCCATTGCCATAGCTCTTGCAGCTGCATCTCTAGCTAAATGTTCAAGCTAGAGAAACTATGATAAATCATCATTATGGATGATGCTCCTAAGGGGGGAAAAAAATGAAGATCCCTATGAATTGATCTGGAGTGATTTTCAAAAGAAATTCTTACATTGGGGGGGGGGGGTTACAGAAAATTCAATATGCTGAAATAACAAAACGCACATATTTCTACAACATACAGAAGATCCCCTGGAGCTAAAGTTACAGCTGGTTGTAATCCATCCAACAATGTGGATACTGAAAGCAGAATCAGGGCTTTTGTAAAATCAGTATACACTCAACTGCTGAACCACCTCTCCAGTTCTGGGTTATTTATTTTTGATAAAGTAAAATTGAGGAGATGGTTCCATGGGTAAAGTGCCTGTTATACAAGTGTGAAGACCTGCATTAAGATTCCAGCACCCATGAAAATAAGCTGTGTGTTGTGGTGCACGTGGGAACCAGCCTACTAAAAGACCCACAGAGCGTGGACCTTCATGCTCCCATTCAGGAAAGGTGACACCCCAAATCACTCACGAGAAGCGGTCTTGATGTAAAAGAACGAAGACTTTTAATTCCAAGTGCACTGGGGTCCACAGTCATGTGTCACACAGGGGTAAAGAACTGAGGACCCTGAGTACAGAATTGAGACAGCTTTTTATAGGGTTACAACAAAGCCCGCACATTGTAAACCAATCATCTCATAGCATCCAGAGCCCAAGAGGTGCAGACCAATCAATTTAAACCATCCAAGCCCGCATTTTATAAACCAATCAGTTTTCTATAGCCCTGGAGGTCTGCATTTGCATGGGCTCCTAGGTGGGGTGACAAATGGTAGTTAGGTTAGATCATTGGGGCAGGGGTTTCACAAGCAGTTTACAAAGTCAGGTAAGCTGCAAGGAGTGTGACCTTTCGCCTATTTACTGGCTGAGGGCAGGGTCTAGAATTTAAGATATTTAGTATTTTTAAACTTCTAGCTTCCTGGGGTCATTGGAGAGTTAGGCTGTATTTTTCCATCCTTACAGTACCTGAGAAAGGGAGTATGGATTGAGAAAGGGCAGGTAAAGATGCAAAGAAGACAGAAAAACAGGGCAATCCAGTGAATAATGAACGCCCCAAGTTTATTCTTCAACATTCTTAAGTACCCCAACCAAAAGAGGGACAAGCCAGAAGATTTCTATTATCATATATAAGGAGTAAACATACTTTTCCCCCTTAATCCTCCAAGCATTTGGTAACCACAACTCTTATCCAGCCTTGAGGGTCAAAAGTAAACACACCTGAGCCTAAGTCTGCTATTTAGCTAAGCTATCCACTACCAAGGCTGAAACATCCTGCAGAAGCCAAGACTTAGATCTTTAAGTCTTTTGATTTATTAAGGACAGTTTTAAACTCTTACAAGATGACATCTTTATGCTCCACCCCCCACAGATGCACACATGTACATAACCTTGTCAGCAGAGCTGAAGGATGAGGGAGGGACAGGCAGATACTGGAGCCTTCTGATCAACCAGTCTATCTCTGGGGTCTCTCCAAAACAGTAGATGATGAAACAACTGAGGAATCCAATACCCACCTCTGGCCTCCACATATGTCCTCATGGGCAAGTACACCTGAATACATGTAGACAAACACAACTATTCAAAGTACAAAGAATGTAGCTGTTTATTTTACACAGCAAAATGTTATCTTTCTAATAAATTAAAGGAAAAGAAAAAAGAAAACGTGGAAAGAGA